GAAGGTCCATATATATTTGCAGTTAGGACTAGGTTTAACTTAAGATCTTTATATTTTCTTCCCCCTTTTGTTATTTTTAACCATTTTCTTTCTCCTGGTAGTACTTACTTGAACAACTGTTAGAATAGTAAAGTTTCCTTGTCATTTTTAGGCAGCAGAGTAGGAGAGCAAAAAATTTCCGTTTTTCCTTAAAGGCTAGGAGTGAATGATAGTCAATCAGTAAACATGTATTAAGTGCTTACTGTGTGCCAGGCACTGTGAGGAGAAATGAAGGCCATCAGGAGAGTTGATGACAGTAAGAAACCACGAAGTAAGTGAGTAAGCCCTGCCCTGGCAGATAACTATGGTGTCATATGTTCTGAAACCAGAGTCTGTCTAGACGTGTAATTTACAACTTTGAAAAGGTAAATGTGCCAAGGCTTTGGATTTGGAATTGAAAATTAGTTGTAGAGAGTACTTTTAAAAACATTTCTGTATTTTTACTTTTTCTCATTTATTTCATAATAGATTTTTGGTTCCCTGTTAGCTAGGTACTGTCTGAAATGTTTTGTCCTTTAATTGTTGGGTTCATTATTACCATGGCTCTGAAGTTCAGTGCAAATGAGCTGAATTGAAAAAAGCAACACTATCAGGACTTCAGGTTCTTAACTTGTGTGCATTTAAGTGGAACTTTGATTTCACTGGTAAAGGGAACCCAGTTGAGAAGACTCCAGTGCAAATCAACACTTTAGTAGTTTATAGTCTTGGAGAGTTGCTTGGGGCACTGAAAGGTTCAGTGACTTGCCCAGGGTCACACAGCCACTGTGTGTCAGAGGTGGGACTTGAGCATATGTCATTCTGACTAAAGAATAGAAGAGCTTTCTATCCACTATACTTCTTTGCGTTTTTCAAAATAATAAAAATATTCAAAATCATTGACCACATGAATTCAGCTTAAACATGATAGGTGTTTATTATTTTTAAATGCAAATTATATATTAACATATTTTCAAGTATTTTAATCAAATTATATAAAATGGCTTACTAGGAACACCACATTCATTACCAAACTTCTTTTTCACTGTTGAATAAACCTGAGTGGAATATTCTAAAGATCATGATTTCAGTCACCCACATTTACGATCTTAGTGTGATCCTTGACTCCTCACTCTTACCTTATATGACCAGTCAGTTCCCAAATCTTGCCATTTCTACCTTCTCAACATCTCTCTCATGTATCCCCTTCTTTCTTCTCACAGAGCCACCACCCTAGCTTGGGCCCTCATCACCTCTCATCTGGACTCCTACAATGGCCACCTAATTTGTCTCCCTGCTTCAAGTCTCTGCACTTCAATCCATCTTCCACACATCTGCCAAAATGATTTTCCTAGAGTTCAGGTCTGTCACTCTCCTAATAAATAAACTCCAGTGGCTCTCAGTCACTTTTAGGGTCAAATATAAACTCTTCTGTTTAGTATTTAAAGCTCTTTACAACCTAGTCCCACCTGACTTTTCCTGATTTATTTCACATTACTTCCTTTCAGACATGATAGTTTAGCCATACTGTTCTTACTGTCCCTCATATGAGGTACTCCATCTCTTGTCTTCATGCCTGTGCATTGACTATCCCCATGCTTGGAAGATAACTCTCTCCTTGCTTTCTCATTTTAGAATCCCTAATTTCCTTCAAGGCTCAGCTTGAGAGCTTCTTCAAGAGGCCTTTTCATGTTTCCCTCCTCCTCAAATTATCTTGTATCTATATTGGATGCACATGTTTGTGTCCTTGATAGAATGTAAACTCCTTGAGGGCAGGGACTATTTCAGTTTTGTCTTTATATTTCCATTGCATGACGTATTGCCTGGTTCATAGTAGATTTGTAACAAGTACTTTTTTGATTGATTGATATCTGGGGATTCTTAGTGACTTACCTTGAAGATAAATGAATAAATGCATGTTCTTGTTCCAAAACCAGTAATGGTTAGATCACTAATAAAGAATTTTGATTTCTTTTTTTAAAAAAGTTTGTGTATTATGGGTATTTGTGTGTTTATTTTAATGAGGGGCTAGAAAATTTGTTCACAGATCATAGGGCATACTTTGGGTTTGACTTGCTTTTTGGAAGGAGCAGCTGACTCTGGGGACATGAAACTAGAGACTTCTTTTGAGGGAATAATGACAAAAATGGAAACACAAGAACTGATTTATAGAGGTAGTTCTTATGCATTGTAAAACAATGTTTTACTCCACCTGGAGTGCTGAGATTCCAAATTATTTACAGCTGATCAGTAGAACTGGTTGTACTGTTAAATTCCAAAGAAAGCTTGAATAATTGACACAGAATCCAGCAATTTAAGTATGCTGAGAGACTGGTGATAATTGTTTCCTTATGGTAGAGGGAGGGAGAACATTCCAGGACAAAAACTGTGGAAAGAAATAGTGAAAGAAGAGGCTGAGTCAGCCCCCTGCATTGCTGCTGCAGAGGAAACTAGTAATTGTAGTGCTAGTTTAATATACTGAAGTGACTCAGGTATGCTGTCACAACCTGAAAGGCAGCCAGAGGAATGAAGGGGAACACCAGCTATTCAGGATGTGGAAATGGAGCAACTCATTTAGTTGCAGCAACTTGGATAGAATTTAGAGAAAGTCTGTCTAGGCCCTCCTGACATTCCTTATAGCAAAATGGGAATAGCACATGTCTCTTAGAGTATTTTTTTAAAGATAATAATACAAATTTGAGAAATTATAAACCAAAATTCATCTTTACCCAGCCACTTCTTCCCCTTTTCTAGTTCAGTTAATTGGACTAGTCACAAAACTTTGCAATCACCTTTGACTCTCCCTCCCACTAAATACAATAATTTGTTTTGCACTATAGATTCTACAATACTAATAATCTATATTTATACAGCAAGATAAAGTATTTTCCTTACGACCCATTGAGATAGGTTGATTCAGAGTAGGTAAGTGAATTGTCCAGGGCCATATGTACAGTATCTGTTTGTTTAGTTTTTAGGCAATTGGGGTTAAGTGACTTGCCCAGGGTCACACAGCTAGTAAGTGTCAAGTGCTTGACCTGAGGCCGGATTTGAACTCAGGTCCTCCTGACTTCAGGATCGGTGTATCCACTGTGCCACCTAACTGCCTCTCCATATGTACGGTGTCGTAGAGGGTAGTTGAATCCAGATCTTTTGATTCTAAAAGCAGTACTCTTTCATCTGTGCCACCCTGCCTGCAATGTGTCTGACATGCTTTTTTTTTTTGGTGAGGCATTTGGGGTTAAGTGACTTGCCTAGGGTCACACAGCTAGTAAGTGTTATGTGTCTAAGGTCGGATTTGAACTCAGGTCCTCCTGACTCCAAGGCTGGTGCTCTATCCACTGAGCCACCTAGCTGCCCCTCTTACATCCTTTTTACTGTTCCCACAACCACCACCCTAATTCAGATCAACACCTTTCTTCTGTATTGTTGTAATAGCCACCTCTTTATCAATCTGGCCTAGATTAGTCTACTGCCAGATTAATTTCCCTAAACCATAACATCAATTATGATATTTCTCGATTCGAATTAGTGGTTCTTCGTTGTCCAGATTGGATTGTCTACCACAAAAAAACCATATTATCTGCTTGACATTCTTTGATTTTCCCCAGATATCATGGTAGTAACCATTTCTTAAACTCTTACAATATATAACATATAGTAATATATGTAGTAATAGGTGTTTTATATATATATATGACTATGTGTGACAAACACACACAGAAATAAAAACTTGAATACCTGATATTATTTTTTTCAATTCAACTTTACTAAGCTATTACTATGGCATTGTGCTAACAAAGAAAGGTAAAAATGATCACTGTCTTCAAGGAACTCACATTCTAATTAGGGAGACAACTTGCAAACAATTATGTACACATAAGATGTTTAGATGGTAAATTATAAACAATCTTAGAGGGAAAGCATTAGTAGTGGAGTTTAGTGGATCCAGGAAAAGACTGTTGTAGAAGGTGGGATTTGAGCCAAGTCTCAAAGAAAGCTAAAGCAGCAGGGTAAAGATGAGAAAGGAGAACATTTTGGTTTACTGCCAGTGAAGAGGTATAGCATAGGGAGATAGAACCACCTGTGTGAGGAGTAGTAAGAAGACCAGCATCTGGATTGGAGAGTAAATGGAGGGGAGTAAAATGTAAGAAGCTAGCTGGCTTACTGGATAGAGTGTTGGGCTTGGAGTCTGGAAGACCTGAGCCCAAATCTGGCCTCAGACATTTACTAGCTGTGTGACTTTGGGTAAGTTACTTAACTCTGTTTGCCTCAGTTTCCTCATCTGTAAAATGAGTTGGAAAAGGAAATGACAAACTGCTGTAGTACCTATGCCAGGAAAACCCTGAATGGGGTCATGAAGAGTTGGACACAACTGAACATATCATTTACTGTTTTTTTTTCCTTTACTGTAGTTATTTAGCATCTTGTATTGCAGTTCCCATAATAAATACCTGTGCTCTCTCTTGGACTTTAAAAAGATGGACTAGCATAAAGCAGAATGGACGTGACTCTAAGGAGGGCCCACACACAGTTTCCTTTATTTTTTATTTTGGTCATGGTGATGTAACTATAAAATGAGACCAACTTTCTTATGTGGGTCTGGAAAATGGCCTGTGAAGGTAATTTCAAAATAGAAATTCCAAAAATGTTTTGAAAATGGCAGCATCGTTGGAATAAGTTTTTAGTCTTGTAAGGTAAGTTTTTAAAGGAGGAAACATATGGCCGTGTAAGTTCTGGAATATTTGTTTAAAAGAGCAATCTCATTCCTTTATAACCACGTCCCGTTCAGGATCACTTTTAAGGTAGAGGTAATGACATGGCTCATCTGGTTCATTTCTTTAAGAAAATGATAAATTAAGGTTGAGGTTCTGAATATTCTAGTTCAACTTGGGACCTAGAACTTCAGTGCTGGGTTTACATGGACTGTTTTCAATCTTGGTATCTCACATAGATTGCTTTCTTTAATTTACATCCCCATCCAGGTTTTCCCTGAGAACATCAGAATTTGGTCCATTTTGTCTTTATCTGTCAACTTGCCTGGGAACATTAGAGTATATGGCTTGTGTCTAAATCTCTAAGAAAAGGTAAAAAGGCCCTCAGCTCTCATGTAAGTCCTTAGACTAAAATAGAGAATACAGGAGAGGCTTTACTTTTATCTGACAGAAAGCTCAAAGCACAAGGGACTTGTACCCAAGGTTGTAAGCATCAAGACAGCTCTCTGTCACTCTTTAGTGAAGCCCCCTCTCTCCCTTCCTCCCAGAAATATAGTTATCCAGACTTAAAATAGTTTTTTAAGATCGAAGCTGCCTCCAAAGGGGAAAGAACTGGGGTCCATAAAGAATCAAATACCTTCTCACTGTATACCAGTACAGGTCCAGCCAGCCATACTCCTTCGCATTATGACTGTTTTTCATGATGCTTCTGACTCCTTTTTGGTTCTTTGTAGGACTTCTTTTATCTCCTGAAGCCTTGGTCCAAGAACTTGTCTCTTGGGTAGTTCTGCCTCCAGGGAATCTGTTTGTAGTCCTTCTGTTCTCTCCATTTATTCTCCTTTTAAGCCCAAATCCAAGGGCATAGCACAGCTTTACACAACTCTTGATTTTAGTCATCCATTCTCCTACCAGCAAATCACCTAGCATTCAAGGCAAGGATTCATGTTCCATCTAGTTACCAAATGTGGTGTCAGTGAGACATTTATATCCTATATAGTCAGAGGACATCAGACACTTTCAACCTTGTCTTAGTCACACCTAAACACTAGGGAAGTAGCTTTGTAGTTAACTTGGATAATTATAAACAGAGGTGGGATTAGTTTTCTGTAATTGCTGCTTTACTAGTTTTCTGTAATGCTTAACCCTATTTGACTCATAAAAACAATCCCTAAGAAATAAAATGAGTTGAAATCACTTTTAATTAGTGTATTGCCCAGTTTTGTATAGAAGTAAAATAAAAAGGGATAAATAAGAATAAACTAAAGGGACTTAAGGTATACCAGACTCAGTTTTACATTTTGTTCAACTTTAAATCAATTTTATGTGCTTATTAAATTTACATAAAACTAAGAGGAATTATTGAGCTGTTGGATGACAACTGAAACCAAGAAGATAAAATCACATAGGGTGGAAATGTAAAATCTATTGTTTAGATTAAAAAATCAACTGTATGGGTATGAATTGGCATAGTTCAATAGTTCATGTAAAAAAGATGCAGATTTTTATTTGACTTAAAAGTTAATATGTATCAGAATGCACAAAGAAGTGACAAAAGTCTTCAGTGAAAAAGAAGTATACTCTACAGTGCTGGACAAACTACATCTGAACTATTCTATTAAGTTCTGAGTGCTACAGAAAAAGATGACCTGTGGTTTAAAAGAAAGAATACCGGAGGCAAAGGACCCAGGTTTCAGTCCCAGCTCTGCCACTTACTGTCTGTAGGAGCTTGAATAAATCACTTAACCTCTTTAGGCATCTTGTTTCTCCTTTGTCAGAGGAACTAGCCCTAAATTCCCTTCCAGCTCTAAATTTATGATCCTATTACCCTAATTTTGATCATTTGTAAAATAGGTTTTTGCACACTAAATTGTAAAGTAACACCTCATAGGTCCTACCTTCTACCATCCAGAATGTGGCTCCTAGGAAGTGCCCCCCCCCAAAAGACCCCTTGTTAGTAAAGATAGATGTTAGAGAATTCATTCTCGAAAGATCTTGCACTTTACTCAGAGGAGGATCCCTCATGACCTCATTTGTTTTTACTGTTCATACAGAGTTATAACTAACTAGCTTAGCTATCAAATTTTTCAAAGCTTATAAAGCAGAAATAGTGAGTTGAAGAGAGGAGAGCTCACTGCCAACAAGTAAGAATAAGCTCTTCTGGGGAGGGGCTGTTTTCTTTGTCTTTATGCCCTCCAGCATCTGGCACAGTACTTTTCACTGCAGGTACTTAATAAATATTTGTTAAATTGAATTGAATTGAACAAGTAGAGGTGATCCCTGAGAGACTTAGTAATGAGGGATGATACAGAAACATTTTAAAAAGCAGACAAATGAACTGGAAAAGAAGCCCCCTTCAACATCTCATTTCCCATCTAAATGCTCTCATTTTGGACTTCTGGCTGCCCTAATTTTGGTTTTCTTTGATTCCTCCACCACAGCCATGATCTGGGGACTTTTCCTCACCTGTCCCCTCCCCTACCCCTCTTCCCCATTTTGATTTCTTGGGTGTGTTGTCTTCTCCCATTAGATTATAAACTCCGTCAGGCCCAGGACTATCTTTTTCTGAATTTTTATCCTGAGTACATAGCACATTGCTTGGCATATAGTGTTTAATAAATATTTATTGACTGACACACTGGCTGACTTTCTGTGGGTGTTTAATGTAGAACAGACAGCCATATACACTTAAGGTACCCCTTGATGACTTCACTGTATAACATCAGTATAGATGGAGCCATAGAATCTTGGAAGGGACCTTAAAAATATTAAGTTCATTCTCCTTATATTATGGATGAAGAAGAGGAAACTGAGGCTAAGTGAGATTAAGTGATTTAATAAATCACACAGCTGGCTAGAAGCAGAATACTTCATCATAATAAGCCTATTTCATCAAAGAGGTTAAATTGTGCTAATTCAGGATTTATTAGGTATTTGCTGCTGGTAGTCTCTGGGGACACAAAATGTGAAAAACAACATACTCTTTGCCCTTTAAGGAGCTTATAGGAGTTTAGGATTTATTAGTATGTTTATGGAGGCAAGAAAATGTAGGTAAGTTAAGATTTCTATAAGAGGAGTTAAAGATTAAAAAAAAAGTTGAAGGCTAAAAAAGAAAAGTTTCATTATCTGGAAAAAAATTGCTTGTGTAGAGTGCTTTATTCCCCTGTGATACCAGATAAATGTAGGATTACTGCATTATTATTTATTTTCAAAGATTTTTCTGAACGGAGTAAATAAAAACAATAATAGATTTTTTTTGTGGTCAGGGATTAGCTCGTCTGCCAGGGCAAAGAGTAATTGAATTTTCTTCAGTCCAACAGTTGACATACTTAGTTTTCCAATCTTTCAACATATGTTTATTGCCTTTTTTATTACAGGGCATAATTCCAGTTTGAGGTGAAACCATGAAGAGAAAGTAAAACAAATAATAATGCTTTTCCGAAATCGTTTTTTGTTGCTGCTGGTCTTGGCTGCTTTACTAGCCTTTTTGAGCATCAGTCTACAATTCTGTAAGTATGTCATTCTGCTCCCCACCCCCACCCCCATTTTATTTTGCCTCTTTATTGCAGAGTATCCCAGTATAGAGGAAATGATTAAGGTATTCATTGTTTATTCCTTTAGTGAATAATGAGGTGTGGGAAATCTGAGCTCTTTGTTGTGTTTTTAATGTAACAATGGAAAGTGAGTGAATGTGTATTTTTTAGTTTGTTTCATTTGCATTTGTATATTGTTCATCCTCCCCTGCTCCCTCCTCATTCTTTTGGCAAATTGTGACTTCTTTACTCTTCTTTCACTGGCCTGTTAGGAATTCTCTCTGATTGACCGTCATCCCTTTTCCATTTCATTTGTTTCTGGATCTGTGACTCCCTTTTGATTGCTGATGAAACATTCTAGACTCAGTCATAAATCTTACTGTTATTTGTCCCTCAATAATTCAGACTTGGAATTCTACACATAAATGAGGAACTTGAAATGGACATCAGTCTAGAAAAGGATTCTTTGGAGTGAAACTTCTGCAGCATTATGGGAAAGAGCACAGTGGGATTGTGAAGGGTGGGGCATAGTCTGGGAATACAGTGTAGTTTGGGAGAAGTCAGAGTTTAGAATGAAATGACTAGGTGAGCAAGTTTTTAGCAAGTTTCTTAGTTTAACCTCCAGGCTTATAATAGATGCTTAAGAAATGTTATTGTCGATAATAAAATTATTGAAAATATTATTTTATCTTTTATTTATTTATTTTTGGTTAGGCAATGGGGTTAAGTGACTTGCCCAGGGTCACGCAGCTAGTAAGTGTTATGTGTCTGAGGCTGGATTTGAACTCAGGTCCTCCTGAATCCAGGGCCGGTGCTCTATCCACTGTGCCACCTAGCTGCCCCCTATTTTATCTTTTAAAAAAAGAAAAAGTAACGAATCTATAGTTGGTTAATGAATTTAAAAGTGTAATCCTTTAAAATGTTTGGGATGACTCAGTAGTTTGTTTATAACTTTTCATTCAGAAATTTTCCAGTCTTTGCTTGGAGAAGTGGACTCTTGTTTTTATTTTGAAAAGTTGACAGGTACTAAAGGGTAGAAGTTAGAATAAGGGTTCATTCTATCTGCTTCATTTCTGTTTCATGAGTTGGTTTCCACGTCATTGAATTGGCTTGCTTGGTTTGCTTATATAACGCCACTGAAAGTACCTTCTGTTTTAGGACAGTCAATTTTAAGGCATACTTTTATAGGCACATTTTGCAGGGTGAATTATCCTGTGTACAAGGACTTTTTTTCTTGGATATACTGGTGATACAGAAGCATCAGAAATTAAGACATGGATATTTTTACTTCATTTCTGCTCTTAGGTAAACTTTTATGGAGACTATTGTTGTTGCATTTCTTCCATTATGTTGTAAATTAGGTTTATCTATTTAGGTAATATTGAGGGTTATGGTATAAGAAACTAGATGGTGAAAGTTCAACTAAGTATGTTCTCTGTGTGACCTAAATTCTTTAGGCTTGCTACTTCTTAAATTAAATGAATTTCACATCACTACGTTCTTTGACTAATTTGTACATAGTGAATTAACAACATAAATATTTTTAAGTTGTATAATCAAATATAACGTCATAGGATAATGTCTTATGAAATACTGTGTTACAATGTTATATTTGTTTTTGTTTTGAAATGATGTTCTTTGCTATGTTAATGGTTTTCTTTTTCTGATATTTTAAACAGAAGTAAGTCATGATGCTGTTTAAAATAAAAAAAGTTTTCTTTTCAATAGTATTTTTCTTTTAATAAAGACATTGTTGAAATCCATTAGTGAACAAATATTTTAATCATCTATAATATATTTGGTGTGTAGAGATACAAAGAGTTATAAGATATACTCCATTTTTTGCAAGGTAAACTTTAAAAACTTCCTGTATTACTGATACTTTGGAAATTAGACTTATTTACATACAAACTACTGAGTATTATGGTGTAAGAAAGTAAATGTTGAAAGCTTAATTAAGTAGGTTTTCTGTACGAACTGGTTTTTAAGTGTGTTATTTAAAATTAAGGGATTTTGCCCCATTTTTGGACTAATTTTTTGAATATGGAAGTAACAAATAGAAATATTTTTATAGCTTTAAATGATTTTATAAATTTTAATGTTTTAAATTATGAAATTGCTGGTATTTCTGCTTTCATTTTTCATTATTTAATACCACCTAAAATCTGAAGTCTTCGCTGAGCCCTTTGGGATCAGTATCTTTCCTAGGATCTCATAAAGGACTTTTTTTTAGAACCTCTTTTATACAGTTAATCATGTAATTTTGCATATTATAGTTGTCTGTTTTTGTAGGTTAGCTCCTTCCTAGACTGTATGCTATGTGAGAGCTGGGATGTTATAAAAGCTTTTAATTTTCTCCGGTGCCTAACACACTACTACTAAGTCAGTTCTTAATAAAAGTGTTGAATTTGAAAATTTCTGATGTTAGAGTAAAAATTAAGGATATATAAAAAGTATATGTCTTTTGTAATGAGGAGAACATATTGTACTTAATCAGCTATTGCTTGAAAACGTAATTGCTTAAATTGAGCATTTGAAAATGAAGTTGTACATGTGGTAAAGACCTTGGAGACTTAATGGATTCATCATGAATCATTGCTTTATTTTTGTTTCAACTTTTCACTTGTAGGTGATTACCAGTTTCATGCCTTAATCTTTTATTTTTGTGTTTAGTCTTATGTTTCAAGCATAGATAAGGAAGACAGTCACAGACCAGTTTTCTTAGCATTAATTGTATGTGAATATGTGAATTACTGTTTAAATAAACCGAGATTGAGCTTCAATAACCTTAAGTGCCTGTTGTATGCAAGGCACTGTTATAATCAAGCTTATTTTAATTTTTACCTAAAAGAAAGTTAAATAGGTTTATTGAGGGCCATAGAACCCTCTTCAGTAAAATTCTGGAGCTCAGTTGCATAGACTTTTTGTTTCAGTATCTTTCATGCTTGGTTCTGGCTTGTGGTCACATTTTCAATTTTCATCCAGTATAGTAGCCTATTTTTTTTTATTAAGACTTGTAGATTGATGCCATATATAGTTAATATTTTCTAATTATTTTGAAAGAATTGGCCTTCACAGAATCTGTTGTATGTAAGACACCTTAGTACAAATATGAATAAGACTCAAAAAATGGTTTTAAAACCATTGTCACCAGTAGGAATTTTTATTATAGCATTGTATAAAATCTGTTTGTTTTGTTACTAATGATCTTTTAATAGCCAAATCCAAGAGTCCTTTCTCAATCCTCATTCTGCTTGACCTTTCTGCAGCCTTTGATACCGTTGATCTCTTTTTCCTCCTTGATACTCTCTTCTCTCTAGGTTTTTGGCATACTGCTCTCTCCTGGTTTGCTTCCTACCTGTATGACACTTCCTTCTCTGTCTCCTTTGCTGAATTCTCTTCCAGATTATGCCTTCTAACCATAGGTGTCCTATAGGTTCTGCCCTGAACCCTCTTCTCTTCTCCCTAGATGCTATTTCATTGGTGATCTCATCAGCTGCCATGAATTTAATCTCTTTGCTGATGATTCTCAAATCTACCTGTCCTGCCCCAATCCCTCTGCACCTGTCCGGTCTTGCATCTCCAACTGCCTTTCAGACACTTTAAACTGGATGTGCAGTAGACGTCTTAAAACTCAATTTGTCCAAAATGGAACTCATTATATTTTCTCCTAAACCTTCCCTTTTTTTTTTTGTAGAGGGCAACATCATCCTCCTATCCTTTAGGCTTACAACCTGGAAGTAATCCTGGATTCCTCACTATCTCTCCTCCAATCTGTTGTCATTGCTTGTCAGTTTCACCTTTGCAACATTTCTCCAACAAGCCTCCTTTTCTTCTGTGACACTGTCAACACTCTGGTGCAGACCCTCATCTCCTCATGTTGATTATTGTGATAGCCTGCTGATAGGTCTGCCTGCCTCAAGTCTCTCCCTATTCCAGTCCATCCTCTATTCATCTACTCAAGTAATTTTCCCAAAGCATAGATCCAATCATGTCAAATATCCCTTGCCTACACTCAGTAAACTCTAGTGACTCCCTCTTGTCTCAGGATCAAATACAGAGTGATTTGTTTGACATTCAGAGCCTTTTATAACCTAGTCTTTTCCTACCTTTCCAGTCTTCTTATACCTTTCTCCCCACAGCTTATTCTCTGATCCAATGACATTGGCCTCTTGGCTGTTCCACAAAGAAAATACTCTATCTCTTGGCTCTGGGTATTTTCTGTGACTGTCCCCTATGCCTGAAATGCTCTCCTGCATCTGTTCCAACTACTGACCTTCCTGGCTTCCTTCCCGGCATCCTTCCCAACTAAAATCATACATTCTATAGGAAACCTTTCCCAATCCTCTTAATTAATGCCTTCTGCTTATTGAGGATTTCCTATTTATTCTCTATATAACTTGCTTTGTATGTATTTGTTTTCATATTTTCTCCCCATTAGATTGTAAGCTTCTTGAAGGCAGGGACCGTCATCATTTGCCATTTTTTTTTGCAGCCCCAACTTTAGCACAGTACTTGGCACAGAGTTAAGTGCTTAATAAATATTGATTGATTGATTGTTGCAAATCAGCAGAGGAGAGTGCAAATCCTTTGGTCCTGAAATGGGAGAAGTATATAGGAAGAATATATTATAGTAGGAAAGAGTAAAGGAACTAAGAAATGAGAATACTGCTTACTTGACCAATAAAGATAGCATTGAACTTTGGAAAGTAGCAATGAGTAGATTTGAGTTTGGAAATTCTAAGATATTTGAAATTTTTACATCATAATTATAAGCATATTTGCTTATGATTGCCTTCATTCTATATATGATAGTACTTTATTTTTCTTCATTTACTTTTTGTCTGCCCTCCCTGATGGGCAATGTTTTGTAGACTAATTTTTTTGTAGACTAATATTTGACAGTCACAAAGCTGATCTCTGAAATCTAAGACTCTTCTTTTAATTTATTATTATCATTATTTTAAAATTTTTATTTTTTATTCTGAATTTAACAGACATCAAAAAAAGAGAACATTAAAAGAATAGAAAAAGAGGATTATATGTGAAACCATGAATCTCTCTCTAATGTAAAGCTTTCTTAAAAAACACTATCAGACGTGATAGACACATGCCTGTTATAATCCCTGCTAGAGAGAGAGGCTGAGGCTATGGATTGCTTGAACTTAGAAATTCTGAATTTTCTTGAGCATCCTACCGCCTAGGGTTGTGATGATTAAATGAGATAACATTTGTAAAGTGCTATATAAATGCTAGCTGCTGCTGTTATTATTATTATTGTTGTTGTTGTTGTTGTTGTTGTTAGCAATTTAGCAGTGGATCTAGAGCATACTTTTTTTTAGGGCAGCCTTGAGAGAAATCCCCTTCTGACAAATAGTGTTGTTGGTTGCCTTTATTGATGTAGAGCTACCTTAGTTACTTTGGATTATCTTCAGTATTCTTTTGATTTGGGGCTTCTTTGATTCTTAAGTGGATCAGTTGATCCACTTTTACTCCCAGGCCGTTTCACTTCCTCCTGTTCTCATCTTGTGTTACTCTTCTATCTCTTTCTGTAAATCCCCCAGAAATGATCAGTTCAACATGCTAGAAGCCTCATGTTAACTTTGGACATTTCCTTTAATTTTAATATTGAGGAAGATACTGAAACAAATGATCCTGTTATCTTTTAGTTCAGACTTACAGACTGAAGCATAATCCAGTACCTATTTATTTTGTTGGGCATGAGTAGTGAAGAATTGGTCTTGAATGGAAAATATCACCTAGAAGAGTACAAGGTATCTGAAAGTAAATACAGTGATTCATTAAAGAGCAAATTGTGTTGAACAATCTAATATCCTTCTGTGATAAAGAAATAGGAAGTACTGATATGGATAATATAATAATACAATATAATAATATAATAATAATAGATAATTTATTTTGTTTAAATCTATCTGGATTAAAGTGAGGCTTTATTTTTATGCTCCATATTATGTTCTTATTAGCAGATAAGTAAATTGTAAACTATTCTGTGGTTTTTAAACACTCTGCAGTTGTATTCTGTGGAGTGAAATTAATGATCTTGAGAATCTAGCCCAAAAGTTAAAAAATGATGGCTAGAGGAGATCGTGTTCACATTCTGTTGTTAAACCTCTTTGCTATTTCAGCAAAGGATTTCGGTTGAACATGAGGTTGAGGGCCTAAATCTAGTGTATTATGTTGTTGTTGGGTGGGTGAATTCTGTCTAGGTGGTTAATTTTTACAGCTTAGAATCAGTAGTACTCTCAGATATATTAGTTCTGTGACCAGTATTGTTTAATAATACATGGTTAAAAACAAAACAGCAACCTAAAAAAATCAGATCAAACCAAAAGCTCCCCAAATCTCCCAAACCTTTGCTATCAGCATATCAATGAAATGTAAGCTTCCATTGAAAAACTTTTGAAAAAAGATTTCAAATGAAAAAAATGACACTGAAGTGGCTTCAAGAGTAATTCATTGAATTAAATGCAACATAATTCAGAAAATTAAAATATGAAATTCAGAATTACATTGTACAATTATACTTCATGTAATTACTTAATTACATTGAAAATTTTTTTTTTAGTCCACCTAACGCCAGTAACACCAGTCAAAAATGGGATGAATGGTAAAAATCGCAAGAGAATAATGCCTGATCCATTGACTGAACCTCCTGTGGTGGATCCTATTCATGAAGCTCGTATTTACTGCAATATCCCAAGCATTGCTGAACGTAGTGCAGAAGGTAGGTTTTGTACTATTGTGTAACAAATTCAGTAGCTATAACAAAGTACTTTTTTTCTTAGAGCTATTTTGAAGAGTCACAAGGTTAAAGTTCTTGGATTTGTGAAGGTCAGGGAGGAATGATAGTAGGAATAAGTACTCAGCCTTCCAGTTTGTTTATCTACAGTTCAAAATCTTTTTAAAAATAGGAATATGCCCCAATCCTTTTCATGAAAATCAGTGGTTTATGTTGATAGGTAGAGTTTTGCTTTGTAGACATCTTTTTAAGGAACACTTTTTTGTATTGAAGTATTTCTGTAAAACCTAGTATATCTTAATACTGTTCCCAAAACTAATGTTTAAATTTATATTTCTTACATGTAGGTCATGCACCTTATTATTTCAAACTAGTATCAGTTCACGTATTAATTCGTCATGGAGATAGATACCCACTTTATGCCATTCCTAAAACAAAGAGACCAGAAATTGACTGTACTTTGGTTGCTAACAGGTAAGCTGCGTTTTAAAAATTCTTTTCCAAATTATAATCATTTTTGAAACTAACATGTTTCATTTGTTTTATATCACCACATGTTGCTGTACTTTGTTTATACTTTTTAATTTTTCAGAACTGTAGAGGTAACATGTTTTTCAGGATCCTTTTTTAAAAAAACATGAATGATAATTTTGGTTTGTTTTTAAAAAATAAAATTAGATTATAAGTTCCTTGAGGGCAGAGATTCATCTTATTTTTTGTATCTTTTGGATGGCAACATGGCACAGTGGAAAGACATATTGGTTATGGAGTCTGGAGGCCTGGGTTCAAATTTTGCCTCTGAAGTTTACTACTATATGACTTTGGCAGTCACTTTAATCTCCTTGGGCCTCAGTTTCCTCATCTCTAAAATGAGGTTCTAGCTCTAGGTCCATGATCTTGTGATGCCCAATTAACATGATATCTTGCATTTTCAGTAAATATTAGAATGAATAGAGAAATAAATGGAGAAAACATTAAGAATAGAAAGTGGAAAATAGAAATATGGAAATTTTAGAAAATTATAATGATAGTTAACTACAAGAAAAAGTACCAACTGCCAAGGATGTATTTAGAGATGTATAATATCCACCATATGTAGTGTGGTCATGTGGCTAAAGGGCTGGTCATGGTGAAGTGAAGACTTCGGTACAAGTTCTGCCTCTGACATGTACTAGCTGTGTGACTGTGACTAATCACTTAACTCCTCAGAGCCCTCCAAAAGTATAAATTGCAAAGCAAGGATCATTGGTAGAGATAATTTCCTTACCAAAAGTTGCCTTAAACTAATGAGACAATAGATCTGATTTTAAAAAGTCCTGATAGTGGTATGTTTTTTTTACTTTAATTTATATAGTAGAAATATACTTAAAATAAATTACCTAATCAAAACACCAGGAGAAAGGATTGTACTTGATCTTGGGGCCATATAGGATAATAGAATTGAGTTACTATCAAATTTAGTTCCTTTGGTCATCCACACCTGTTTGTGCAGTCTTTGACCCAGATTAGAATTTTTACCTCTCTCTAATGATGTGGCTTGAAATTTCATATAATCACCAACTTGTGTTGATTACTAATCTGTCTGTACAGTTAGAGCTGGCTGTTTCATTTTCCACATCCAAAATGCTGTGGTATAGGACTCTGGCTTTTTGTTATAGTGAGATTTTTCTCCTTTCACTTATCATGTCCCTATAGGACAATATCATATTAATTGTACTAAATCTGTCTGAACGGGACCATTACTTACATGCTTATTTTGTATCCCACAAAGTACTCAACACTAGGTTAGATATTTAGTAGATACTTGTTGAATTGAATCAAATTACCTCTTGAGACTTGAATAGAAGAATATTAATTGATTTTAAGTCTTTATAGAAAAATATTTTTTAAATTAATAGAATGCTGTTTTTCCAGTTAGATACTTTTTACTCTTGAATAATCATTCCATAAATTTACATGCATTAGCATTGTTACTTAATTTAAATATAAACTATTTGAATTTATTTTCTGATAAGAAGGCTACTTTTTTTTCTTAGTATTCTAGTGAAGAACTCATTACTTATACAGTTTATGCTGCAGTATTGTTGACTTTCTAATGGGTATGCAAAATAGTTTTGAGGTCTTATATTGAGCTTTATGCGTTAACATTTCTGATATAAATAGATACTCAGAGTGAAATAAGAAAATGAGGCCAATTCTTTGAAGTCTGTAATAATTTAACATTTTTATTACTTTCAGTATTCAGCATGCATAAAAATTTCTGATGAGGCCAAGGTCAGGTATATTTTTATTGAAGAATTTATTTCATGGATTTGATTAATAAACACCAAAACTCATAATAATTTTAATGTTTAAGCAAAAAGTGTTATGTCTGATGTTTAGTTTTATTAACTATTGTCCAAGAAAAGAACAATTATACAGTTAAATTAGGGTAAAATGAATTTTTATTTGTCCCTGTCTCTATCAGATCCACTAACATCAGTATAACATTAAGATTTGTATGAGAAAGAAGCATCTTCTGATAAATAAATACTTGATTAATTGCTTCCTCCACTGAAGTTCTAATTTGATATCTTATCAAAGGGTAACTGTGACCATGACTTAGGTTATGACAGCAGCAGCTCTGGTAGGTTCAATACCAAGCTGAAAAGTCTTTGATTATAGGTCTGGTGAAAGACTGTATGTCTTTGGTGGTTTTTTTTTTTGTTTTGTTTTTGTTTTTGTTTTTTAATGTATGTCTTTGGTTTGGGGACTAGCTCAGTTAAATTTAGAGAGATTTATCAACAGGTTGCCCACAGGTTGATTTTTTTGTCTCAGCAACTCTTAAAGATCATGTGCTATATTTGTAGAGGGGTCAGGATCTGTGTTAGTGAAAGAAGTACCCACACCAGTGAGGTCATAGATCTTTAAAATATTGAAGTAATAATTCCATAAGTGAAAATTTTTGATTATGGATTTCTTTCCATAAGAAATCCATATTCAGAAGAAGATCCACAAACCACCTCTTACAGGAAAAAAAAACTAATAGATAATTAAATTATTTTTAACATGAAAAAAGTCTTTATGGATAATCACATAGTGAAAACATGGAGAATTTAGGAAACTATTTCCTGTAACTGTCTTTAGTCATGTAACTTAAATTTAATTTCCAGGTTACGTCCACAAAGCTTTTGCTTAGATTCTTAATCAGAATCCAGAGATACTGAGAGAAGCATTTTATGTGTCTTGAGGGGTAACCTATAGTTTATGAAGATAAGTATTAAAAGCTTTGTTTTCATTTTATAAAAATATTAATTTCTAAGATTGCAAACATTTATATGTATTTTTAGGAAAAATTTGTATTTTCTGCTCTAGTGAAAAACATAATGTACCCTGTAGTATTTAGGTTAACATCATCATTTATATTAGAGTCTGCCAGGTTTAGCACATTATAATTTTAAGATGTACCTTTACACAGAGAAGTTTTGAGGTTTATGTTTTTTTGTCAGGTTACTGAAATCATTTTAGTATATTTAGAACCATGACTGTATCCATTTAAAATGTCACCGTCGATGGAGCTCAGGCGCTGAGAGTTTACTGTTAGAGCAGTTTGATCTTTGCTTTTTTCTTTGCTATTTCTTGTTTTTAATCTAGCAGTTAACTTTCCTCTTTCTGTAACTAAGTAAACATCAGCATTTTAGTAGTCAGTTGGAAAGTGTGCATAAATTCTTATTTCGTTAATCAGGAGAAATTCCTTATTACTAGATATTTTACTTTTAAACCTAATTTTATATTAATATACTGCAAAGATTAACATTTAAGGTTTTACACTGGTTCTTTTTCTTTTTCTTGGCCAGCCTGTGGTTTGACTCAAGGTGCGTTTAATTGTGATATAAACATGCCGAAATTCTTTAGCTTTAATCATGGAAATGAAGTGCTTATCATATGCTTCTATTCACTGCAAGGTTAATTCTGCAAAAATACTGCTTTCATCATCTCGTACACCTGCTGAAAAACCTCCAGTGACTCAGTCTAGGCTCCCCTACAATCTGTCCACAGTGTTTCTAACTTTATTTTCCTCTACTCCCCAATTAAATCCTGTACTGTCCCCTGAACATGACTAGCATGTTCCTACCTTTCAGGCTTTGCTCGTGGCATTCCTGTTGTCTAGAATAACTTCCCTATCCTTCCCATCTGTCTAAATCCTATTCATCTTGCAAGGCATTGCTCAAATCTCATTCTTCCATGAAGCTTTTCCAGACCACTTCAGCTTGAAGTCCTCTCTTACTCCTTTGAAATCCTATAAGCAGTTTTTGTCTGTATAACTCAATTGACACAAGGAAACAAATGATCTTGTGCGTATAGGTTTTACTTTGCTAACTTGATTGTAAATTTCTTTTGTAGCCCTACATGATAGTCATTCATTTGTTTGTTGTTTGATTTATATCAAGCTGAGTCAAATATTATCATTCTATAAAGTAACTTTAAAGTTGAATTTTTAACTTTACATAAGGGCAAGACACATGAAATAATTAGAAAGTGAGAGTGTATAATAAAGTGCTAAATTATATGGTAAAACAAATATGTGTACTAGAAGTTAAAGGAAAAGATGAGTGTAGTCTGAACTTTCCAAGGAAAGCTTTAAATAGGAGGTGAAGGATTCAAGCTGGGACTTGAAGAATGACAAATTTATTGATGAGTATAAGTGGTCAAATAATAATTGAATTTTAATATTAAAAATTTGGTGATCAGTACATCAGTTCATGATCTTATATGACAGCATGTCACCCTCAAGTTTCTTCTCTGAGAAATGGTTAGGGTTGTAACCCTTTATCCTTGGAGCCAGTTTTACCTCTTGTTCTTTAAATATGGTTGATGGGTGAGAGGGAATAGTCAGCATCAAAGCTTTAGGAGTCTACTAGACCCAAAAAGGCATTTGCTTGATTAGCTAACTAGCTAGCTCCACAGAAGTTGAATTAGAAAACCCTGATTGGGTCTAGAGAGGAGGCCTGGAATCTACAAGGGGAGATAACTTAGGAGCATATAGATAATTGGGAGCTGCCTGCCCTTGAATGCATTTGAAGATCTGAAGCTCATTGTCTTAAATGTGGATTAAAAATGTTTATGAAGAGAGACTATAGGTATGAAAAAGCATCTAGCTTTGAACAATATGATTTCTTACAATAAATCATTCAATTTTTTCACTTTATAGTTTTGCTTTTATATTATCATATAAAGCATTTGTTGGACTAGAATGTATTTTGGTTTGTCCTTTTTAGGAAACCAAACCATCCTAAACTTGAAGCTTTCATCAATCACATGTCAAAAGCATCTGAAGTCTTAATGGAAGGCACTCTCAGTACCCTGCCTCTTTATCCTAGTCATTCACTGTGTGAAATGGGAGAACTCACTCAGACAGGCAAGTTTCCTCTTTGTTCTTTTCGATTTCCCAAGAACGTATTTTCCCTTAGAGGTTGTTTTCTATGGTTGGAAATACTACCTGGTTATGTTTTTACATGATTATTTTTAAAGTTATTTTATTTTGAAATCCATTGCCTTGTATGTAACTTCACTCTTCAGAAAGCTTATTTGGGGCCATTATGACAAAATAAGATAATACATGTAAAACACTTTAAAAACCATAAAACTTTATATAAATGTTAGCAATATGAGTTATCATCCGCTTTTGCTACATCAATTCTAGTGGTAACTTCTTGGCATTCATTGGGAAGAAATTTCACCCTATCCTCTACCACATCACTAGGACAAGTGAGGCAATACTTAATCTTACTTCAGTACTTCAAGGATCTGTTGTAGTTGTTGTGAGTACTCTCCCCATATATTAGTAGATAGTTCTTCTAGAGTTACTGTTTCCATGCAAATGATGAACCTCTCCAAATTTAGCTAGACTGGTCCTCAAACAACAGATACATAGTCACTAAACTCTTAACCTAAGCTTTTCCAGCTTGGTGTGAGACCTATCATATTTGGTGTTTTTTTGGGCATAACTTTTGAGAACCCAGTGTCACTTCTTTAATAGGATGCTTAGAGTAGCAATTAGTCTCTAAACAAAAGAATTGTCATATTACATCAAACCAGTAGCCGAATCCAGCTTGTCTTTGGTTGGCTTCTGAGAAGTATCTTCAAAGTTGATGATGTGAGACAGCACAATTTTCTTCTTGAACCCAGCCTCAGTTTCAGATATTTAGGGACATTTCCTGTACATTTATTTCCAAGTCCTTTTAATTAATTATGGATCAAAGAATTTATCAAAAATTTATTTATATTAACTTTGATCTCATTTACATTTTAAATCTGCCATACTACTTGAGGTTCAGTTCAATTCAGCAACATTTATTAAGTGTCTTCTGTGTGCAATATACTGCATTAGTCTCTGGGGGATAACAAGACAAAATGGAAAACAGGTCTTCTCCCTTTGGTGTTCTACTGTACTGCAGATAACAGGTTCCTTAAGTTTATATTTCACTGTAAAACAGGACATTCTTTTTTGATAGAAAAAATACTGTTTTATCTCTTTCAAGCATCAAGGAGAGACTCACCTGTTCTAATATTTTAAGATTTGATTACATTCAATTCAGCAAACATTTATTAAGTGCCTATTGTATGTGAAACATTGTGCTATTCACTTGGGAAGAGATGAAATTTAGATAAGACAGGATTCCTTCTCTTATATGGAGCTTAGTCTAGTTGAAGCTATTGCATATACAAAAATAACTAAATCATAAGAAGTTCTGAGGAAGATACAAACTGTGATAAACAAGTCACTTTTGACATATTTATGCCCTTCTTGAGTTCATGAACTTCAATCATATCCCCTCCTTGTAGAGTGAAGAGTTATGAATTTTTTTTAGTTTATCTTTTAAGAGTTCTCCCACATAGTTTAGTAATTTGCTTTCTCTTATCTGACTTTATTACATCTTTTTTGAGATTTGTATTCTGGATGTCTTCTGTGGCTCATGGTTTTATACAGAGGTGACAAGTGTTTTCCCCTTTGTTTTTCCCCCATCCTGAGGATGCCTAGCATATTGTTTGTCTTTTGGCTATAGTCAGCAGCATATTTTGTACTTCTTCTTTAGTATATCAATGACCCCTTGACCTCTTCTTTTGATTGTACTTGATAGATTAGAGCCACTCATTATACAGTTTGGATTATCTTTTCTTAAATATATTACCTTGTACATGCCTACATTAAAATTCATCTCTTGGTTTTCTGCGTAGCCATGCAGTTTTATGAAATTTGTGTGCAGTTTTTCATCATCAGTTCCACATTTCACTACTTGGTATTGCTTAGTGGGATCTACCAATTTTGAAATTTTACTGTACCCTATCTTTTAAACACTAAGATGAACAGGTCTTTAAGAGTTTAAATTGTTTCTCTTGAGACAGTAGTTCCCACCAGCTCAGGAATGGAAAGGTCAAATGAGACCAATAAAGGGAGATTAATGAATGAGAGAATAGTAGCAGATGGGTAGATTTTTAAAATTTATTTACATTCGATTAAAAGACTATATTGAGTAAATTGAAGCTCCAGTCTCCCCTACAAATTGAAGAATACTTGCTAATAGAAAAGAAAAAGTCATCCCTCTGTCCTTTCCAGTTGTAGACTTGGTAGCCAGTTGCCTATATGTGGTAGCTGATTTTCATCTTCTTGGGTGGTTCCCAGAGTAATATAGAAGACAGCCAGGGACTATTCCCCAGGGAGTTTGGAGGAATTGAGTAGAAGTTATGCTGTCTAGGAAAAGAAGGTGTGAACAAGCATTATCACATCACTTCCATAAGTGGAGGACAGATTTCTGTCTGCCATATCTGACATATAAATTTGCATGCAATTTTCTTTCATGAATTGATGATGGTTGTCCAGCTTGCGGAGCTGAGTTGGGTTCAGATATTTATATTTTACATTCATTTTAAAAAATCATAAAATTTAAGATTGATTAAACTTTTATGTACTTGGCCCTCATACTATTCTCTTTTTTTATGCTCTCTCTTTTGTATACTTTCCTTCAAGTCTTATATTCAGGAAAACTTTTGTTGTCATTTTTGTTAGGTGTTGTTCAGCATTTGAAGAATGGACAGCTGTTACGAGACATTTATTTAAAGAAACACAAACTCCTTCCAAAAGATTGGACCACAAAGCATCTTTACTTAGAGACAACTGGAAAAAGTCGAACTCTCCAGAGTGGACTGGCCTTGCTCTATAGTCTTCTCCCAGATTTTGATTGGAAGAAAATTAACTTTAGGCACCAGTGGAGTACTATCTTCTGCTCTGGAAGTTGTGATTGCCCAATGAGAAATCAGTATCTTGAAAAGGAACAACGTCGCCAGTACCTCTTGCGTGTTAAAAACAGCCAGTTAGAGAACACTTATGTGGAAATGGCAAAAATAGTGGGGATTCCCACGAGGCAGCTAAGAGCTGCTAACCCCATAGATTCTATGTTATGCCACTTTTGCCACAATGTCAGTTTCCCCTGTACCAAAAATGGCTGTATTGACTTAGAGCATTTTAAAGTTATCAAGACACATCAGATAGAGGACGAGAGAGAGAGACGTGAAAGGAAACTTTATTTCAGGTATGCACTACTGGCTTCTCATCCTGTACTTAACCAGACAGTCAACCGGATGCTGCGCATTGCAGAAGGCAAGAAGGAAGAGATTTTTGTTCTTTATTCTGCTCATGATGTCACTTTGTCACCAGTTCTCAGTGCCTTGGGTATTACTGAAGCCAGGTTTCCAAGATTTGCAGCCAGATTGGTCTTTGAATTGTGGCAAGATGGAGAAAGACCTACTGATCATTTTATCCGTATTCTTTATAATGGAGTTGATGTCACATTCCACACCTCTTTTTGCCAGGAACACCACAAGCATTCTAGCAAGCCTATGTGCCCTCTTGAAGATTTTGTTCACTTTGTCAAAAGAGACATGTTTTCAGTCTTAAATAGTAGTAGTTATTATGATGCATGTCACAGAAAAACATTTTAAAAGAAAATCATTCTGTATTTTATGAAATAATTTGTGCTGGTACAGAAGATGACCAGTTTTGGTTCTTTCTGATTCAAAAGGTATGACAGTATTACTTTGAAAATACTTAGAAATCCCAGTTTGGGACCATATAGGTAGATTGACTTGAATAGCAAATAATTTGCCATGATTTGGTACAAGATCTAGTTCATTAATTTGGTACACTTCTACTTCATTGAGAAACAGATACTGTGCTGTAAGTTGATGTTGCTTGGAGTAAGTGATTTTCCTTCTTATGCCAGAGTAGATAAGTCTAGGTTGCAGATTCAGAATTTTGTTCTCTTGACTGCCATGGTACTATAATATGTAACCAACAAACCTCATCCACAATATTTCTTAATCTTGTGCAGATACAGGTACTCCTTAAATGGAAGTATTCCTAAATTTGGATATCCAACAGCTCTCTACTGTGATTGTACTTGCAGAAGTAATTTGAATACCAAGAACTTTATGTTGGTTCTTCCAGTTCTTTTACTAGCAACATACATCTTGGTATAACTATCTAATTACAACACAATATGAGGAAAATGATTATTAAATCAGGATGAACCTGATAGTAAAATTATTAAGGTACTTTATGTTCAGGATGATAAAAAATACTGTGGTATAAGATCATTAAGTGTGTTTTAAATATTTGTCTGCTGTAGCAAAAGCTGGATATGCTGAAACTTTGATATGCAATTTAGTATTTTTATAGTCTAGAAAAATATTTTCTAAGACTTGTGTTAGAAATGATGTAGTACTAATCCCAATTTTCTGTATTTTCTTGCTAGTCAGAGATTTATGAAAAGCCAATTTCGGATATCTCCAATGAACATCTTACCAAAAAATAGCATTAATGAGCAATTATCTTTGAGCAACTGTGGAACTGAATACATTTTTAAACCACTTTGGTCAGTTAGAAATAGTAAAATCTGATTTGATTTTTAAGGAGATATTTGGGGTAAAACTTCATTACCAGAATATTAAATTAATCTTTATACTGATAGATTTTTTTATACTTTTAGAAAAGATTCTGATTTAATCTCTAATATTTTAATTAATGGTGCTAGTTAAATCAGAGGAAATGTAATCTATGAGTGAGATTCTCTAGTGTTATTGGCATTCCAGACTCTTCTTTTTATTTTTTGCTCAGTGCCGCATTTGAATACACTTGTTTCTATCAATAAAATTTTGAGAAATATTTGTATATTCCGTGGTTCACATTATGTATCCTGAGTACATTAGGTGTTTTTTAAGATTTATCTTGAATGCTTCTGTTCTTGCTTAAAAGCTTAAGTGTTAACACTTGCTGGCATTTTAATGCTAATTAGATTCTTTACAATCACTCAAGATATATCTGAATAAGAACTCCTGAATATGGCACCACTATTTAAGAATAAAGATGTGATCCAGAAGACTTTTAAAAAATCAAATTACAATTATATAGGATAGACAAGATACTTTGAATAATAACCAGTGCCTAAGTATGGCAATGGATGTTGCCTCCCAAGACTTTGTGTATAAATAAAATTAAAAGACTATGGCATTAACACATTAGTTCCAAAGTCCAGTGATTGGTTTGAAGCCATGGTATAGTAGAGAGAACACTAGACAGATGTTGGAGTATCAGTTCTGCCTCTTAGCAGCAAGGTTACTTTAGGCAACTCACTTTGCCACAACTCTCCCCGTCCCACCTCGCCCCTCAACTGGAAAAGGATAATACTTAGATGATCCCCAAAGCTGGTCACTCTCAGCTTTATGATTTCATGAAGTTTAAATTTGTGGCCGATTTTTTACAAAAATGTTTTATTAATGATACATTCATGTTGGAAGTTTAAGAGAACACCAGGTATATCTGTGGGATAGTGTGGGATTATTGAGATGTATTTGAGGACTTTGTATTTGACAGAACAAACATATTGTTAACCAAAAACACTATCATAAGTCCATGACACATTGTGTTACAATTAGATTTATTACAAGAGAAATGAATACACATGTGCAACCTAAGCAGGTGCATCGAGTTCACACTTCATAGGAAGTTTGTGTATTTATGACAGTACAACAAAGGAAGGAGGAGAAAACAAACATTTCCTCCTAAAGGGAAGTGTCATGGGAGGGGGAAAGGTGCAGTAAAGGTGGGAAAAGGACAAAACCCCCGTTCCTTAACGATATATACATACATACATACACACGTATGTATGTGTATGTATTTGTGTGTATATATGTACATATATATAATCAGTTTCCTAGTTCAGTTGAACAGTTAGTCTTTTTGAACTCGAGATTCTATAAGTACTTTTGTTCTGATGACTATTTTTTTCCCTAAATCCTTTTTAAATGAAAGAAATGAACATAATAACGTACCTAAAGTTAAGCTGATGAGTCTACAAGTCATGGTTCTCAAACTTTTTGGTCTCAGGACTCCATTACATTTAAAAATTATTGAGGATTCCCCATAGAGTGTTTGTTACATGGGTTTTTTCAATCAATGTTTACCACATTAGAAATTAAAACAGATTAGTAGTATCATGAAAATAGTTTTGACCTGGTGGACTCCCTGAAAGGGACTCGGGGCTCCTAGATTACACTTTGAGAACCATTGGTCTGCAGCACTGTAGTAGAGTTGGCCTGGCTGGCAAGATTTAGGAAATAGTGTAATTATGCAGCAGTGTGCATTGGCTAAGCAGTTTGTGAGTATAAAGTAGAAAACTTGACATTAAATTTTTGATTTTCATGTTGACTGGTGGCAAGTCAAGTTTTGTTTTGTTTGTTTTGGAGGCGATTGGGGTTAAGTGACTTGTTCAGGGTCACACAGCTAGTAAGTGTCTGAGGTCGGATTTGAATTCAGGTCCTTCCAACTGCAGGGCCAGAGCTCTATCCACTGCACCACCTAACAAGGCATGTTCACCCATATTCCTACTAGGTCATTTAATTTAAAAGTTTGGATTATGCTTTATTAATATCCATCTGTATGGTAGCCAAAAGACTTAACAACAAAAACCAAAAGAGCAAGTCCAAATAAAGAGTAATGTAGATGAAGTCTAGTTAACTAGAATGTTTCTGAAATAACTAGAATGCTTTTGTGGACCTGAACCATTTGATTTCCCTGAGGAATCAACAGTCAAACTTTCCCAGGCCCTATTGTTCATACATTTCCAATCAGTTCACAGTTTAAATCAGTAAACATTCATTAAGCACAGTTGTGCCGATTGCTGTACTAGATGCTGGTAGAAATCCTTTTGGGCATTCTACTTTTGGGCAACTCTAATTGTTAGGAAGTTTTTCCTTGCACAAAGCCTAAATTTGTTTTTTTGCAACTTCTACCATTACCCTTAGTTTTGCCCTTTGGAACTAAATAGAACAAATGAGATACATCTTTTATGTGATAATCCTTCAGATACTTGAAGGCAGTTGTGTCCAGTCCTAGCCCCTGCCCCCCAATCTTCTCTCAAGTAGACTTACCTTATTCAACTGGCCAACTATAGTATGAACTCAAGGACTTTCGCCTACCTTTGTCCAGACACTAACTGATTAATCAATGTCCTTCTTAAAATGTGATGTGCAGAACTAAACATAGTTTTTTTGGGCGGGGGTGGGGGAAAGCAATTGAGGTTAGGTGACTTGTCCAGGGACACACAGCTAGTAAGTGTCTCAGGGTGAATTTGAACTTGGATCTTCCTGACTGGAGGGCTAATGTTCTAGCTAGCTCTTTGTACATAGTATTTCAGAAGTTGTCTGATCGGGGATTTTGAACTCTTTATTCCTTGATAATATGCCTCTTAGTATTGTCTAAGATTGGTAGCTAAGTGGTGCCAGAGTACTGGGCCTGGAGTCAGGAAGAGCTGAGTTCAAATTTGGCTTCAGACACTAACTGTGTAACCCTGAGCAAATTACTAAACCCCTCTCAATCTCAGTTTCCTCAAATTTAAAATGGGGATCATAATAGCACCCACCTTGTAGGGTTGTTGTGAGGATAACAACAATAATATTAACTAGCATATAGCACTTTCTATGTGCCAGGCACTATGCTAAGCACTTTACAATGATTAGCTGATTTGATCCTCACACCAATCCTGGGAGGTACAGGCTGTCATAATTCCCATTTTACAAATGAGGAAACTGAGGCAAATAGGTTAAGTGGCTTGCACAGAGTCACACAACTTAGTAAGTGTCTGAGGGTGGATTTGAACTCGGGTCTTCCTGATTCCAGACTCAGTATTCTATCTACTGCACCAGGATAAATGGAATAATATTTCTAAAGTGCTTAGCACAGTGCCTGGCACATATTAAGCACTATAATAAACATTTATTTCCAATTGTCCCTCCACATTAGTTTTCTCAGCTCTCATGTCGCTCACATTGTCAAGCTTGCTGTACACTAAAACAGCTTTTTCAGATGAGCTGCCCTCTAACCATGCCTCCCTTATATGTGTGAATATGATTTTTTGAATCTAAGTGTAAAACTCTATATTTATTGCTATTAAATTTGGTTTGATTTTGGTACAGTACTCTAGCCTATGAAGAGCTTTTCACATTCAGATTGCCATTCAGTCTGTTAACAATCCCTCTTAGCTCTGTGTAATTTATAAATTGGACAAGCATGCATCCAGACCTTTTCTAAGTCATTGATTTAAAAAAAAAATTAAACAGAACAGCATCAAGTAGAGATTGTGGGGGACACTCTGTTGCAGTTTCCAATATGACATCAAACCATGCACAATTATCCTTTTGTTCCAACTCTTCACTCAGTTCTGAATCAATACAATTGTACCATTGTGCAGACATTAAGCTCTGGCCAGCAAATCCAAAGACAGCTCTATAGTTGAACTCAATTCATTTATATAGTGCTTCCTAACAACAACCTAATGAGTCAAATAGTTCAAACATCACACATATCCATTTTACAGATGAGGAAACTAGTTCATATGAGTTAAATGACAAGCCCTATGGTAACCTAGTAAGTTTCAGAGCAGGATTTGATCCAGGCCTCCTGATGACCAAGTCCAGTGCTTTTTCTGTTGTACCATGTTGCCTTTCAAAGCTGAACTTGGAAGGGAATCACACCATTGTCTAACCACTCCAAGGGTTTCTGAGGCTGAACAAAACTTACTTATGAACAGAACAGAACGAAATACTTTCAAATTGGCTTTCTTAGTCAGGAAAACTCCTACATACAATGGAGATGAGGACCTCAATTCAAACATATATTAAATGCGTAGTCTGAGCTAGGTTATGGGCAGATAGAGACAAAGGGGAGCTCCAGCAAGATGGGTGAGTGAATGGTCATGCCAAAGCCCAGCTTCTATTTATTACCTTAAGATAAGTGCCAAATGAAGTAAATCCAAAGGGGTAAAAGGAAGTTTTTTACATGGAAAAATCTGCAGAAAAAAAAAAAGCAGGGACTGAACAAATGAGTATACAAAAAAGGCCCAATAATACAATAAATAGTATGGGGTAAAAGACAGGTGAAATCTCCAGAAAAGGGGAATGATGCTATAATAACTTCAAGTTGATTTCCTAACACAGATTGGGTCAACTACAAGCAACCTTAGAGCCATTGGAAAGCTTAATAGAAGTTGTTAAATGTAGATATAAGGTCAAATTAGAGCTCTTAGTGAAGATTTAAAAAAAAAAAGTTGCTGGTTTAGAATGAAAAGGAATGACTGATGTCTCCCACTTATTGGCAGAGGTGGTGGGCTATATAGATAGGTATGGAATGAGGCATACATTTTTGGACATGACCAATGTATTGACTGGGAGAGGGGAGTCATTGGAGAAAGACAGTGGTATTACAAAAAACAACACACTTAAAAAGGAAGAAAAGGCAGACTGCAAAAATGAAATTATATAACAATAAACAATATAATTAGGCCAACAGCCAGCAAAGTAGAAGGAATACTTGAGATCTCTAGGAGCAGAGGTAAGTCACCTTGAAGACAGAGTATAGTAAGATAACCTAAAAATTATCTTAGGATGTAACAAAAGCCTAAATACCATACTCCAGGCAATTGTAACAAAAAACTTCCCCAGAAATATTGAAACTGGAGAGCAAAGCACATAGAATTCATGGGGTGTTGGCAGAAGAACCCCAAATTCAGATCATTCAGAAATACAGCCATCAAGTTCCAGAGCTTTTAACATTAAACAAAAGATCTTGTAAATGGCTTAGGAGAAGACTTTACATTTCAAAGAGAGATATTCTGAATCTCCTGACTATTCATCACCATGAGAAGTGAAAGCAAAAGCTGAAGTGTGACATCTTATTAAAGCAAAGGAAATCAATTTCTAGCCCCTAGATAATATTCTGTAAAACCCACCAATGAATAAAGGATTTTAAGTTCAGTATAAGGAAAGAATTTGTATCATTCTTACAGAAAAAAAGATGATGTTGTGTATCAGCAATTTGGTATGCAAATTCAAAGGAAAGAAACAAGATGGTAAATAAGTCCATATATCACGACAGTACTGAGCAAAAATAAAATAAAATCAATGTTTACATGCAGCAAGGAGCCTGCGAAGCTAGCAGTGCCTTTTAGAAATCTCCCATTGTCTGAGGGTCATTAAGAGAACAAAGAGAAAGCATTTACTGCAAAGACACTTACTTAGTCGAAATAGGTTTTGTTTGTCTCTTTGTTTGTTTTTTAGAGAAGGAGCTGGGAAGGGGAATATGTTAATAGGATAATGGACTTGAAGTTTGGTCCAGCTGTTTTATTTTATGGATGGGGGTGACTGAGGCCCAGGGTGAGTAGGGGACCAGTGAATGGTAGAGCCTGGATTTGGGTCTTTCAGATCTAGTGTTCACTTAATTACATGCTGTCTCCTTTGTGAATTAATACTTCCGCTAATGGGGTGTCATGGGTGAAGGTATTTCAAACAGAGTAGTTTGGGGTGGGTTAGGAAGGATCCTAAAATATGTGGCAGGGCTGAGTGCAGGAGGGGTCAAGGCTTGACTGAGAACTCTCAACTTAGGTGAGGATCATTGAGAGAACAAAAAACATGAATGGAAAAAGCCCGTGAAGGGAAGTCACAGCCAGGCATATCCTAGAGAAGGCAAGGAGGGGAAAGGAAAAGGACT